CCTTTTGCTAGCCAGTCGATCTTCAGTAGAAGACAACAGTGATGCAAAGCAAACGTGATAGCCACTACACTATCCGCCCTGATGTGCTTGCCCTTCTTCATGGGTATAGAACCCAACCAACCTTTTTTTGTATGAACTGTATGTTCCAACATCGCAGGGACTTGGTGCTGGTTCGTTGGAGCTTACCGCACGCGTTTTCATATCTGGTCCGGGGCCGTTGACGAGGAGTAGAGGCGCTACAGAGTGGTTTGCTGCGCGGAGGACCCGCACAAAGAAGGACTGCAGGCGCTGCTCTCCCAGGGCTCTTGTGTGGCGACGCGAGCGAGTTGCCTGGGAGGAGCAATAAGGTCAAAGAGGGAGAAGTCGTACCCAGACAGCTCATCAGCAGCAACCTACCATTTACACGAGTATAAAATACACCCATGCGCTGTGAGCACGGGAGCAAGGAGAGTGTGTCGACTTTGTATGTAGCCAGTACCCATGACGTGGACCAAAGGGGTGGGCTGGCACCTGTCGAGGCATAACCAGTTGTGTGTGCGCCCCCCTATCCCAAAGCTTGGCCAGGGCCAGGGCACTGGACGGTGTGCTGACCGCTCTCACAGCGGCGCCAGGCACGAGGCGATTGAGAAGGCCACGCTGGTCTTTTTTTAGCGCGATCGGTGCCTCCTGTTCCTTTCCGCTTCATGGCAATTGTGAGTGGCAATTCCATTCCCATGCTAGGTAGTTAGAGCTAGCTTCCTACATATAGACCTTGTATTCGTGGTGCAGGGAGCCGCAACCACTGTCTCTCGGGCGACATGCTCTCGACTCTCTCGCCCGCAGTCGGTTCCCTGTCTGGCGCTCGCTCAATGGCTTATGTGCAACGATGCATGCGACGCTATTGACCAGCCAGCCTGCCAGCCCTAATACCCATATCTATACACACATGTATATATATACCGCCGCCCCGCTGGCATTGGGGGGGAAAAGGCCAAGTCCCCGTCCATTCCTCTAGCGGGTGGCCCGCCTCCTCGCTCTCACCCCGGTAGCCTGGAAAAGCTATGCACGCTCCACACCTCCTCGTCGCCCTCGCCGCCTCGGCGGCGTCCCAGCATGTGCTTTCGGCGTCTACCTCGAACGCAACTGACAGCCCGTCACCATCGCCGCGTTCGGGCCTGCGCTTCTTGTACCAGAACGACCTCGACTGGCGCCGCGCAAAGGCGGGAAAGAAGCGTGCCTATGTCCTGCACACGCTGCCAATGCGCGGGTACGCCGAAGCGACCGCCGCGTGCGCGGCGCTAGGCGAGCAGCTCGCCGACGCTGACACCGCACTCGCTGACCGCCGCGGCCTGCGGCGCCAGCTCGCCTTTCTGCAGCTCGAGGGAAGCCTCCGCAACTCCCAGACATTCTGGGCCGCCACAGAGGAGACGCTGCAATGGGACGGCAGCAAGCTCGTGCGCGTCTCGAACGCTGCTGCTACCGGCGCCACCGCCGACGACGTTGATGCCGGCAGCAGAAGGGCACGGTCCAAGCGTCCCTCCACGCGCGAGGGCATGCCATTGCAACCGCTGCCGCTCTGCACGCAGAGCGCGCCGTATTCGACTATCAACGCGACCGATGCGTCCTCGCGCTGGACCGTCGAGGCGCAGAGCGACGCGCTGACCTTTCAGGGCTACCGCGACGCCCTCTCCTTCCGCTTCGGCGCCCTTCCGTACGCCAACGTGCCGCAGCGCTTTGCACACTCTTCCCTCCACTCGCAGTCCAGCGGCACCGTCCACGCATTCGGCACGGACAACTCGTCGGCGTGCCCGCAGGGGTACGGCTCCTGGAAAGAGGTGTGCAACGTGCAGAACGTCTTCACCACCTACCTGCCCCTGGCGTCGGACCCCGCGCCCACGCTGCGGCCCGTCATGTTCTGGATCCACGGTGAGTGCGAGCCCGTCGCTGGTCCTTGTCGATGCGACCGCATCCGCTCACCCGCAACACTCCTCCCCGGCGCGTCAGGCGGCGGCTTCACCTCCGGCTCGGGGCTCGATCCCAACTTTCTCGGCGGCCAGCTCGCATCACGGTCCGACGTGGTTGTCGTCACACCCAACTACCGCCTCGGCATGCTCGGCTGGATGGCACTCAATGACGAGTATGCGGGCAACTATGGTCTTGGCGACCTCGTCACGGCGCTCCAATGGGTCCAGAAGCACATCCGCGCGTTCGGCGGTGACCCGGACAACGTCACCATCTTTGGCCAGAGCGCCGGAGCGATCCTCGTCGAGAACCTGCTCGCGAGCCCGCGCGCCGCAGGCCTCTTCCACGCCGCCATCATCCAGAGCGGCTGGCCCTTGGACGCGGCCAACGCACGCGCCAACACGTCTGCCGCCGCACCCGCGTACCTCGCCAAGGCTGCGCAGCTCGGCTGCTCGTCCGATACGGGCGACATCGACGCAATCGTCACATGCCTCCGCGCGCTCCCCGCCGCTAAGTTCATCCCGTACGCCGGCGGGAACCGGCCGACGCTGGACGGCGAGTACGTCACCAGCCGCCAGCTCGACATGCGCCCGCCGGCCAATGCGACGCGCCACGTCAACCGTGTCCCGACGATCATGGGCTTCATGCGCGATGAGCTCGGCTCCCTCGGCGTTGTCCCGCTACTCGGAAAAAGCCTCTCGCAGTCCCTCGCAGACGCTGGCGTGTCTCCAAATAACAGGGCCATCGTCAAGAACCGCAGTGACATCTTCCCCGTCATGCCCAACACGAGGTACGGCGTCCAGAACCTCTCGGTGAGTTTTCCCCTCTGTGCACGCTGCGCAAAGAGGACAAGGGGGAAAGGGCGCAGACACTTAACCGCACTTCTGTCCACAGGTGACGGTCGCAACGGACGCAAACAAGCCGTCGAGACGCTGCGGCGCTGAAGCCAGCCTGTACACGTTTGCCAAGAATGGCGTCTTCCCCGCAGTGTACGGATACACGTTCGACACGCGCGCCTACCAGATACCCGAGTACGATCCGTACGATTGGTGCAACCCAAAGTCGGACGCAGCGCTGGCAGCCGGCACGTACGGCATGTGCCACTCGGGCGATCTCCTGCCCGTTTTCAACGTGAGTGCCAGCTCGAGCGCAGCGTCGTTCGCAAGCGCCAGCGCAACTGACACGGTACCGAATCCCGTCCCCCCAGACGTACGGCTGGCATGGATACGAGTACCGGGACAGCCATGACCTCGCGTGGTCAGCTGCGATCGCCGACCAGTGGACCGCCTTTGCACGCTGGCACATGCCGAGCCCCCAAGAGGACTACATGGCGACACGCGGATATACCCGTCCGAACAAGCGGTGGAAGCTGGTCAAGTCGAGCAAAGGCGAGTACCAGATCCTCTCCCTCGGACCTAAGCAGTACATGCGGGACCTCGCCCAGAAAAAGGCGCAGTGCGACGCCTTTGGCCTCGGGCTTAGCTACATCATCGACGCTATGGCCGTGCAGGACACGGGCTGACACGGACGCTGCGGATAAATATATGTAATTTCCCCCTGCTCTGCCTTACTTACAATCGCCAGCTACGACAGCCACGCTTGGCGATACGCCCGAGAGTCTGCACCCGTCTGGCTTTGCCACGCTGAGATCCGGTCGTCCGTGCTGGGGCGCAGCCGTTCCCCGCCGTATCTCCCCCGCGCCGCAGAAGCCAGTTGAACGAATGCGTGCTGCAGCTCGAGGCGCGCGCCCGCATCCTTCAAGCTGCCGGCGACGACGGCGACGATGAAATAATATGTCGCAACAGCCCGGCAGCCAAGTGCCTGCTCCGCCTGAGCGAGTCCGACATCGAGCAGCTTTGGCGCGGCGCGCACAACGTCGAAGGCTTGACTGCTTGCGGCCCATGTTGCCCTGCATAGGAAGTATGAGTACTGTCCGAAACGATCGCCGTGCTATGTTCCACCGCTCAGCACTCACAGCTTTAGATAAAGGCTCTGCGCGATCGCTTCCAGCGTCTGCACCGCTTCCAGCTTCGTTGCTGCTGCTGCAGGCAACCCGTCCAACATCGCTGTTGTGAGGACTTCGTTGAATATATCACGCAACTGGCCCAGCTCTGCATGCACGCTTGGCTGTATGTTCTCGTCGACGTGAGCTGTATAAATAGGGGGTAGGGCGCGTGTCAGCCTTGCGTCAAAAAAGCGTGTTTGCATGCGTCCACGAACCTAACGGTCTGAGCGCATCGGCAAATGGCAAAACAAGCCCGAGCTGACACTGTGCGAGAATGGCGCTGTCGTTGACTTGGGCGAGGATGCGTCGAACGAGCGGCTCGTTCTCATCGCCTGTTCCAAACGCAAACGCTGCTGCGGCACGAGCATTGAGAACGTCGCACTGCCTGCTTGCGATGTGCGCCTGACATTGCAGTGGCCAGACGCCGAGCGTGCACTCTGCAAAAGCCGACAGTGCGACTAGCTCGTCAACCGGCTCGGCATCCACACTGGGATAGAGCAGCGCCCAGCCGAGCTTGAAGAGAGTCTCGAAGCCAAACTCCCACGCATGTGCCTTTTCCTTCTCCTTCTTTACGTGCACCCAGACGCAGTCGATTGTGCACGACGCAGCGCACGCGAACAAAAGAAGTGTCGCGATGCGCAGACGAAGCTGCGAGGGCGTCCAGTCTGCCGGTCGCCCGGAGCCACTACTGCATATCTCGTTCCAGTATTTGGTGATGGTCGCCGGCAAGAGGATTGGCATGCGAGGGTCTGCGCAGAGTGGCGAATTTTGCAACACGAATAAAGTAGCGTCAGCTATACGCGTGGTAAGTACTCTTCTGTTGCCCACATCCACTCACAGTGAAAGGCACAATAATGGTCAAGGAGGTAAGCCACAACAGGAAGCGCGCAGATCTGCGATGCGGCCGCAAGCACCGGCGCAAACGCCCCCTCTGCGAGCGGCACTTCGATCGGCCAGACGGGATTTGTATTCTCTTGAGTGGTAGTGCCGAGCATCCGAGACCAGACGGGCGACGATGCTGCACCTGTGGGCGCGACGGTCGACCAGGCTGTCGCGTACAGGCTGACCAGGCTCTTGGCGCACAGACCGGCCGGACGGACGCTGAGAGATCTGCAGGAACAGCAGGTAGGTCATGGGAGCCGGGATCAGATAGGGGCACGAGGGGAAACAGGCCACAGTTTGCGCTGGCTCTCACCCATCAGCGGAAATAATGAGCAGATTTTCGGCAGCAGGATCCACATCATTGACGTCTCTGCTGGTAAAGAGCGTGCGGAAAGTTGCTTGGTCGCTATTGGAGTGCATGACGCCGCTCGAAAGCGAGCCCGAGCTCAATGATGATGACGCTTGCTGGCGCTGGTCGTGCTGCGCGTGCGCATACTCGGCAAGCTGTAAATTGACGGCAGGCGACGGGGCGCCGGTACTGTGCGTGCCCGAGCTGGCGCGCAGCGCCTCGATGAACTTTGGCGCGAGTGGTGTGATGCGCACCCACGCAAGCGGCGCAAAATCGTACACGACACCGGGGCCGGGAGCGGCGCCTGCGCCAGTGGCCTTGCCTTTCGCCTTGCCTTTTCCTTTCGCAGCTGCAGTGCTGGCGGACCCGGCCCCCGTGGCAAACTGGTCGATCAGCTCAAAGAATGACGTCGGTGCGAGCGCCCAGGCGCTGAAATCGGGCTGGTCGCCAAGCACCTCTTCGAGCAGCTGCTGCGATGCGGTGAACGGCTCGCTGATGTTTGGCGTGGCGCCCCCCTGTGAGTCGCTCTTCGTTGCGTGCTTCTTGCCTGTCGCAGCACCACTGGCAGCATCGCCAGCTTTGCGCTTGAGGCTCGCGTTCACGTTCGCGCCCACATAAGCGTTCGAGGCAGCAGCTTGCGCCTCGACCATCGCCTCTTCGCTTTCATCTGCCTCCTCTCCGTTTTCTACACCGTCGATGTTCATGAAATCATCCGCGGCGTCACCTCCACCACCGGCAACGCTGCTGCCTGTGCCGCCCTGTCCGCCACCCCCCTGGCTATCGCGCAGCAGGAGCAGCGCCTCGATCGCGTCGTCGCGCGGTGGCTGGCGCTGCGTGCGCGCTCCTCCCTTTGTCTGGCGTCGCGACACAGGCCCGCGAGCAACAACACCACCTGCGCCGACTGGGGGTGCAAAGGTGAGCGCGAGCGTGGCGATCTCGCGCTGCGCGGCCGTCGCGTTCGGCGCATCGCGCGCGGAAAGCAGCGCCGCCTGCATCGCGCGATGCTCCTGCGCCAGCTGCTGTGCATGCGAGAGCACTTCCTGGCCGGCGCTCGTGCTCGTGCTATCCAAACTCGCGTTGGTGGCGGTCGCAGTGGTGGTGCTGCCGTCCGCTTCTGTAACCGCACCCGCGCCTGCAATGAGCTGCTCGCCGACTCCCTGCAAAGCTGGGTCGATCTCGAGCGCAGACTGGGCGCCGTCCACATCTGGCCCTTGCCCTTGCTCTTGTTGTTGCTGAAAATCAACCGCCTGGACGAGATGCGCATACAGCTCTGGGTCGAACTGCACCGTGCCCGCTGCTCCGGACGCGGGTGCAGCGGCAGGCTCGAGGTTTGTGTAGTTATCCGGGTTGAACGGCGCGTCTGCGTCCGGCACGGGGGTAGGAGCAGGAGCTGGAGCAGGAGGCGCTGGAGGCGGGGCGTCGGTGCTGGCACTGGCACTGTCAATGGTACTTGCGTTGGCGTCAGCGCCAGAGTCAGCGCTGTTGATCCTAGCACCCGCATGTATCACTCCGTGTCCGTCCTCTTGCGGTGGAAGCAGATCGCCAGCAATGGCGCCCTGCTGCGCTAGCGCCGGATCCTGCGCGCCTTCCACTTGCGCCTGTTGTCCCTCGCGCTCCTCGCGCTCGGCCTTCTCGCGCGCCTCACGGCGCTCTCGTATGCGGTCACGGAATGTCGAGTATGGCAAGCCGCTCGCGCGCATCATCTCGCGCTGCATCTTGGTCGGAGGGCCGCGGCGCATGAGCACGTGCACACGCGTGCACTCGTCAGCTTTACCCAGACGCGCACAGCGCCCGCATACCGGCTGCGCGCGGTCGCATTTGAGCTTCTGCAGCCGGCACCGGTCGCACGCCGGCGCGTCGGCCTCGGGCACACCCGGTATGGGAGCGGGCGCCACGGCGGCGACGATGGCTTGCTCGGTGGCCGACGGCGCTGGTTCTAGTTCTAGTTCTAGTTCTGGCTCTGGCTCTGGTGCTGGTGCTGGCGCTGGCCCTGTATCTTCCATGACAGGCCGATCGCCTTGCGCTTCTTCACCAACACCACCACCACCAGCGCTCGCTGCAGGTGTAGGCGCATTCCCGCTGCCCCTACCCCTAACCCCCACGCCGGAGCCGACGCCGACACTGGCGAGCCGGGCGCGCATGGCCTGCTGGAGGATGAGCGCGCGCTGCGCGGGCGTCGCGTTCGGCGGGATGGGCAGCGCGCTGAGAATGCTCGCGGGGTTGAGCACGTTTCCACCCGCTCCGCTACTGCCCGCCGCTGCCACTACGGCTTCCGCTGCCTGTTCCGGCTCGTCAAATGTCGCAGCAGCGACAGGTGCTACGGCGGCATGCTGAGCGCTGAGCAGCGCCGCGAGCGCCGCATGCGTCGCTAGCGGGATGTGCTGCAGCGTCGTCGGCGCGACGTCTGGCGGGAGCTTTCGCGCGCCGCGGCCGATTCGTCCACTCCCGCTCCCACGACCGCGACCGTGGCGGGGCGGGCGGCTGCTACGCGCTGACTTACTGCGGCTCTTTTCAGCAACAACAGCTTTGTCGGTCATGGTGTTCGCTACAGCTTCGGTGGTAGTCATTACCCTTGCGTCGTGGTCCGCTGCACCTGCTGCTGCTGCTGCCGCAGCCGCGATGCTGCCGTCAGCACCATCAGCCGCGATGGCCCTTGCATTCGCTTTCATTTTCGCGTTGCCTTTGCCCTTGCTCTTGGGTCTGCCGTTCGTTGGCATCGGGCTGGACATCCTTGCCGCGTCGGGCTGCAGCGCCTCGAGTAACTCTGCTGGTGCGTGCCCATCTGCTTGCTCTAGCTGGTGCTGGTGCTCCAGCTGCTGAGCCCAAGTTGGCGGCGGGACGGGCACGTCGTCGGCGGCACTGTCGTCAATGTTGTTGGCGTTGTTATTGTCGTTGCTCCTGCTGCTGCTGCTGCTAACCGTATCGCGAATGTGCTGCTGCAGATGCGGATAGAACGCGTCGCTGTTGCTGCTACGACCTCGGCCGCTGGCAGCGAGGTCGCCGATGCCATCGTCCGACGCGGTCGCTTGCACTGATGCCGACTCTGGTGGAACAAACTGGACGTGGAGCAGCTGTGTATGCGGCTGCGCCGCTGGTTCTGGTGCTATCTGGCCGCGTGCACGCGCCTCGGCGGCGTGTGCTGCCGCTTCGGCTGCCGCTGCGACTGCATCCATGTCTTCCTCGACGGGTGCTACGCGGGCTACTCCCAAGCCGCCATTCGCGCGCTGGTCTGCATCTGCGTCTGCTCTACCTCGCGACCGGGCGTCGGCGGCGTTTCCACCTGCTGTTGCTGCAGCATCTTCTGCATCTGCTGAGCGTGGCATGGCTGGAACCCTGCGCTGTCCTCGGACGCGATAATGTGAGCTGCTGCCTACAAGAGACGGAGGACCGGTGCAATTTGACGGGATGGCTGGCTGGATGGATGGCGATACTCTCTCCCCCTCTCGTTTACCACAGATGTGATAATACTCTTCACTCTTTGGGAGCTCAATGCACCGATCATCCTCTCGGCCGAGAAAGATCCGGTTCGAGATCCCCTCCCCAATCAGATCCCTACTACAGGCCCATGCACAATCTGAATTCAACCAGGTGGGGGTAATCGATGAGGCTGGAATGGGTTGCGGTTTCTGATGGCGGCGCGAGGGGGGCCGAGCATGCATTGTACATCCAGGGGCAACGGGTCAAGGGAAAGGCTTCGTCGTCTCTCTCGCTGTTGCTGATTCGCTCGCTCGCAGGCGAGGAGGTCCTATCTACTCTACTCTACCCCACCCCCTTCCCCGGCGCCCGGCTCCACAGTCGTTGCAGCTTGGCAGCCATCGCTGATTCATCTTCGTCATCGCTACCGTCGCCAGAGTAGATAGATAGCGACATCCGCAACCGCAAGATTCCCCCCTCCTCGGGGCACTTTCACCTTTCGCAAACTAACAGCCCAGACACAACGCAAAAGAGAACGAACGAACAAACAATGAGCCTCGTCGGCAGGCCCCAGCCACAGCCCATTGCCATCGCAACCGCCCCGCTGAAGCCCACCTCGCGCATCCGGTCCCGTGCGACGGCGACAGCGACGGCGACAGCGACAGCAATGGCGACCCCTGCCCTTGCTCGCGCTAACACTGATGCCGCGTCTGTGCAGATGCTGTCACCGGCGGCACCGCCTGTCGCAAGCTACAAGAGTAAACAGAGGACCGTTATACTACCCGGGCAGTATGCTCAGGGTCATACACCGCAAGTCAGCCGCGGCGGCACACTGAGTCACAGCAGCAGAAGCATCGCAGGCCACTCTGCACCCGCTCTAGCCACTGCTCCTGCGTCCACTTCTCCCCCCGTATCGGCTTCGGCAGCGATCGCGTCAGCATCGTCATCGTTACCGTCCCTGCTGGTTCCCTCCGGTCCAAGCACAAGCGTGCCCCCATCAGCAGCTTCGACAGCTGCAGCAGCTGCAACCGTACGCCCATCGAAAGAGTACACTCTCCCTGCACGCAGCAAGCCTGGGCGCAAACCTATGAACGACGAGCCCGCCACAGTGAGTACCTGTAAACTTGCTAGCGTCCCACGCGCTGCACAGCCACCGGACAATGCTGAAACTCAACTCCTTGGCCTCCACCACCCCTTACCTCCTCCTCCTCCTCCCCCTCGCTCTGCTACTGTGCTCATGTGCACGCGGCAGAAGCGAACGGCGCAGAACCGCGCGTCTCAGCGCGCCTTCCGCGAGCGGCAGCAGGCGCACGTGCGTGAGCTCGAGGCGCGCGTCGCGCAGCACGATGCTGAGCGT